TTAGCTGATCTTTTGGCTTCATTTCTTGTATACAGTAATGTTTTCTGCTATAGCTAAAGTGTTTTTGTGATGTTTTATAATATACTAAAAGCTTTCTGCAATCCTTATGTATGTATGTATTTTATCCATTCTCCTACCTTTTTTTACTGTGAGCATAAATTCTATGGAAGTGTTTACAACAATTCTGATAAAGACCCTATTTTTAGCAACTTTTCTGAAAATAATAAGTCAAAAAATTGTCGAATTACTTCTCTACATAATTCATGTAATAAAAAAACAAACGAGCGAAGATATTATATAAATGTTACTAAAGCCTTAAAGACGTTTATACCGCACTGGTAAACCACAAAATATATATATCATGAATGACTTTTAGCCTCGTGTCAAGAGACTAAACATATGAGAGAAAGATATATATTTTAACTAATGTCCACATGAGAAATAGTTTTTCTTCTTTGTCTTTAAACCGCTATTTACTTAAAATATACCCAACGAAAAATCAACGAAAAGCAGACAAAAAGATAGAAAAATATAATAAAAGGATAAATGTGAATATGTAATTCCAAAAGCCAGCCAGTAGAGGGCGTCCTTTTCACTCGCTTGGTTGTTGGCCAAAGAAGAAACCTCTCGAAAGTTACTGTCAAACTTGATGCTAACACCAGATGGCGTTTTATCGACGCTTGCCGAATTATTTATATCAATAAAATTGCCCCAGGGAAATTTTATTTTATCAAATTGTAATAACAACAAAAAAAAAAAAAGTAAAATAAAATAAAAATAAAAGCAGAAAGAAAAAAAAAGAGGTCATTGTGGGAGGTAGGAAAGCGTCGTTAGGTTTCCTGACACTCATCATTTGCGGGCCCGACAAAATATTACTTCCGTTTTTTTTTCTCTCCCTTTCTTATTATTTCTTCCTGTTTAGTCGTTCTTCAGGTCTTATTGATTATGAAGAAAATAAGAACATAGGCAGCACTCCAAGAATCATCAAACACTAGTGTATTATAATAATTGAATAAGACGAGATAATAATAAAAGTTGCAAAAGTACGAAGTAGTGGGGAATTAAATAGGTTCACCCAGATGACGGTGTGCCGAAGGGGAAGAGTAAGAGCACGTGTATTTGAAGACATTTCTTCATACTTGGGACGAATTTAAGTGACGTATGCAACCGACTGAATAGACAAAACTTTGCTTATATAAACAAACACACAGAAGCTCACATAATTTTTTATGTTCACATTATACAAGGCTCAAGAGCCATTCGTGGTAGAGAATTATAGAATTATGTAGTAAGAGTAAGAAGTAAGAGGCTCAGTTTATGTTTACACCATACAAGGCCTAAGAGCCACTCGTGGTAGAGATTTATAGAATTATGTGGTAAGAGGCTCATTTTATGTTCACACTGTACAAGGCCGAAGAGCCACCCGTGGTAGAGATTTATAGAATTATGCGGTAAGAATAGGAGGTAAGAAGCTCATTTTATGTTCACACTGTACAAGGCCGAAGAGCCACCCGTGGTAGAGATTTATAGAATTATGCGGTAAGAATAGGAGGTAAGAGGCTCATTTTATGTTCACACTGTACAAGGCCGAAGAGCCACTCGTGGTAGAGATTTATAGAATTATGCGGTAAGAATAGGAGGTAAGAGGCTTAGTTTATGTTCACACGATACAAGGCTTAAGAGCCACTCGTGGTAGAGATTCATAGAATTATGTGGTAAGAATAAAAGGTAAGAGGCTCAGTTTATGTTCACACTATACAACACCTAAGAGCCACTCGTGCTAGAGATTTATAGAATTATGTGGTAAGAGGCTCAGTTTATGTTCACACTGTACAAGGCCTAAGAGCCACTCGTGGTAGAGAGTTATAGAGTTATGTGGTAAGAGTAAGAGGTAAGAGGCCCAGTTTATGAGATTATCTCGGAAAAATAATGGTTAACCCTAAACGCGAACAGGTTAAGATTATAGTGAGAAGAATTCTCTTTGGGTCTCGATTCAGCAAGGTAGCGATTTATGGGAAGAAGATATTCGAGTGGAACTTACTTTTTAATAATGGAATGCGACGAGAATTTGTGGCGTTCCGAATTCAAAGAGAGACAACGCGTCCCTCCGAAGTTTCAAGAAATCGACGGATTCCAAGCCTAACGAAAAAAACACAAATATTGTTTTATATATGATAGTGTACTATAATTCTAATTTGTCTGTGTGCGATTCAGATGATAATGTATGTTCGTAAGTGTGTAGACATTATGTTTGTTGGCTTTTTGCATGTTGATCTGGGAACGTACATACCGTTTCTTTTATATAAACATACGTCAAATTCTATAAGAATGGTTTCAGTAAAAGTTGGCCATGGAATTTAATGTTTTTACGTGTGTTTATAGTTGGTAATATTGTTATAAATACTCCTTCCGATGTAAATAATTATCACTAACTACATTATTTGGATTATTATTCTCATCTTTGTTGCCATATTTATTACAACGTTTCGGCTGTTGTACGCTCCGGCCTTCTTCAGAATGTCGAACTGAAACCTTTATTTCGCTCGCTATGGTAGACTGTTCTAGTTCCACGTTTCAGAACAGTCTACCCCAGAGATAAATATGGCAACAAAGTCGAGGACAAGAGTCCGAATAATGTAAATAGTGTACATAATACCTCATCTCAGAAATATAGACAGATAGTAAATAATTATGTTCTTTTTTTTTAATTAGGGCGGCATTTGTAAAATCAAAGTTACGGCTAGTCTTGTTCCTGTGCATTACGAGAGTGTTTGACAACCATTCAAACTTTCAAAATGTTAGAAATACCTTGTTCGGTTTACAGTTTGATTTTTTATTTGCCAGGAAACATCACAGAAAAACTTAAGAATGTCGCCTCGTTTTATCATCGACCGGTAAATCTTACTTATTATAAAACGCAGATTGTGTGTGTGTGTGTGTGTGTGTGTGTGTGTGTGTGTGTGTGTGTGTGTCTGTAACGTTTATATATTGGATCGGATTTCCTACATTTTTCAACCGATTTCAACAAAACTTCACAGGACTACATAAAATTACCTTGTGGTGGTTCTAACAGCGCCAAAAATGGGAAAAATACAATTGTTTTTGCACAAAATCAATTTGAAAACACGATTAAGAGACATCGTGAGAATGAAAGGGGGACAATTCACATCGGGTTAAAAACCCAGGTTGTTTGTGTGTGTGTGTGTTCCTTTATATATGGGATCGGATTTCCTACATTTTTCAGCCGATAAAACAAAAATTCACTTTTTTATTTTTTTTTTTTGCAGGTAGTGTTTCTTATTCTCTTGCACACTTTTTTTCTTTATTTTTAATATTCAGAATGTTTTAAAAATTCCATTTACAAGACAATTGTTTATAATAAAATTCTATTCAATCGGGAGACTCATAACGATTGAAAACAATGTTTTTGTTTGAATTTGGGTTTGACCAATTCGTAAAAAAAAAAAAACTAATTAAGACATACGTGTCCGTCAACCTTAAACAATAATCTTTGTCAATTTTATTTTTCAGTCTTTATGATGGTCGATACTTGATCTATCTCTTACTGTTATATCCCCGGGCAACGCCGGGCTCTCCTGCTAGTATCAAATAATATTAAGAATACAACTAAATGGAAACAACGATAAAAAGATTTTAATGGATATAACTCACAAAAGGAAATCAAAAAGAGACAGCTGAAACTAGTGGGACGCATAACGAGGAAAGTGTGCTTGGAGAATCTGATACTCGCAAGACATTTAAGTCAAGAAAAGCAACTAGAAACAGCGAGTACTTAACGTTTTTGTGAGAACGGAGAACAGGACAAGGACAACGGTGAATAGTAAAAAAAAAATCATGTAAACCAACAAAAGATAGGAACTTGTGGAGAGCCATGATCGCTCATATACTGAATGGACATGTAAGATAAAAGAAGAAAAAAATGAAGACATACGAGCTTATCTGATTTGTAAATTTTAAAACAAATAAAAAAAAATAATTGTCGCCAAATGACCGGAGATTTCTGTCTTAGAATATAAACGAAAATAGTTTAGCCGATACTTATTAACATAACTGGGGTACCTAGATGTTTTTTTTTTCGTTAATAGACCCCTGATAATGATGACTTTGTGCTTCTTTTTTGTGCCAAGTAAATATGTTTAATATAATCAAATTTAATTGTTAATGGAGGGGCTGTTTTCTTCCTTCTCATTCACTGACCAACAGTTTTAAAATGTTTGGTTATTTTTGTTTAGCGGCATATCAGCCTCGATGCCGGTCTAATTAATGATTTTGGTGATACAAGACTTCTTAATTAAACTATAGCTATCGGGGAGAACAGATAAACTTCATACCTTTCCCAAGAGCTTAAGTGAATGTAACAAGTCCAACTGGAATTGGATCTCGGCTCCTCGATTAACAATCCCGAACCATTATCCATCACACCGCCCGCACATCCAAACACCTGATATTCCCAAGCGGTTACTCATCTAGGTACTGACCAGACTGGACGTTGCTTAACTTCGTTATCTTACGAGAAATCCCATTGAAACTGTTCTGGTTATCTTCAATGTCAGTTATATGGTCTGTTCATCAGGCTGGATTTCCTTTGGTGTGGGTGACACCGAGAGAAGACATTTGGTGCCTTGATTGGATGTGAAATAAAGTAGTTAGACACACCAGTATGCTGTCTTCTTCTACTCAGGGATGCGTTTTTGCCTGAACGGTGTTTAAGAACTGAAATATTGACAAAGGGCGACAGGAGTAATTACGCTCGAATATAATCTAGATTCGTTAGGCGTGATTGAATTGGATAAAGAGAGGAAAAAAAAACGGAAGGAAAGCAAGTTCGATTGAAACAAAAGGGTAAGACAAATTTTTAAAAAAGCGATGAGTATAACGTATAGTGAAAGGAAAAATGTCAGAAAGGTGATAATAGGTAGTAAATATTGAGAGATCGGCAATGGAAAAAGAAAGAAAGCGAAAAAGAAAGGAAAAACATTCTATAGAGAGAAGTTGGAAGAAAGAAAAGAAAGGAAGAAAGAAAGAAGCCCAAAACCAAGAAAATATATGGAGCACAGACACAGAGAGGGGATGAGAGAGGGAAGAGAGAAAAGAAGGAAAGAGAAAGAGGGAAAGGAAAGAAAGACACGATGGGAAAATTTAAAATTGGGTTGGTTGATTTTTCTTTGAAAAAGAAGAAAAAAAAAGTGAAGAAAAATAGAGAGAAGAAAAAGAGAGAAGAAAAAAGAGAGAAGAAAAAAGAGAGAAAAAAGAGAGAAGAAAAAAGAGAGAAGAAAAAAGAGAGAAGACAAAAGAGAAAAAAAGAGATGAAAAAAGAGATGAAAAAGAGAGAAAAAAAGAGAAGAAAAAAGAGAGAAGAAAAAAGAGAGAAAAAAGAGAGATGAAAAAAGAGAGAAGAAAAAAGAGAGAAGACAAAAGAGAGAAGACAAAAGAGAGAAGAAAAAAGAGAGAAGAAAAAAGAGAAAAGAATATAGAGAAGAAAAAAGAGAGAAGAAAAAAGAGAGAAGAAAAAAGAGAGAAGAAAAAAGAGAGAAGACAAAAGAGAGAAGAAAAAAGAGAGAAAAAAGAGAGATGAAAAAAGAGAGAAGAAAAAAGAGAGAAGACAAAAGAGAGAAGAAAAAAGAGAGAAAAAAGAGAGATGAAAAAAGAGAGAAGAAAAAAGAGAGAAGACAAAAGAGAGAAGAAAAAAGAGAGAAGAAAAAAGAGAAAAAAAGAGATGAAAAAGAGAGAAAAAGAGAGAAGACAAAAAGAGAGAAGAAAAAGAGAAAAAAGAGAGAAGAAAAAAGAGAGAAGAAAAAGAGAGAAAAAAGAGATGAAAAAGAGAGAAAAAAAGAGAGAAGACAAAAAGAGAAGACAAAAGAGAGAAGACAAAAGAAAAAGAAAAAAAGAGAGATGAAAAAGAGAGAAGAAAAGAGAGAAAAAAAGAGAGAAAAAAAAAGAGAAAAAGATGAAAAAAAGAGAGAAAGAAAAAGAGAAGAAAAAAGAGAAGAAAAAAGAGAGATGAAAAAAGAAGAAGAAAAAAAGAGAGAAGACAAAAGAGAGAAGACAAAAAGAGAAGAAAAAAAAAAAGAAAAAAGAATAAGAGAGAAGAAAAAAAAAGAAAGAAGAATAGAGAAGAAAAAAGAGAGAAAAAAAGAGAGAAGAAAAAGAGAGAAGAAAAAGAGAAAAAAGAGATGAAAAAAAGAGAGAAGAAAAGAGAAGAAAAAAGAGAGAAGAAAAAAGAGAAAAGACAAAAGAGAGAAAAAAGAGAGATGAAAAAAGAGAGAAGAAAAAAGAGAGAAGAAAAAAGAGAGAAGAAAAAAGAAAGAAGAATATAGAGAAGAAAAAAGAGAGAAGAAAAAAGAGAGAAGACAAAAGAGAGAAGAAAAAAGAGAGAAGAAAAAAGAGAGAAGAAAAAAGAAAGATGAGAGAAGAAAAAAGGAGAAAAATGAGAGAAGTAAAAAGGGAGAAGAATATAGAGAAGAAAAAAGAGAGGAGAAAAAAGAGAAAAGAATAATAGAGAAGAAAAAAGAGAGAAGAAAAAAGAAAGACGAGAAAAGAAAAAAGGAGAAAAAGAGAGAAGTAAAATAGAAAAGAATATAGAGAAGGAAAAAGATAGTAGAATCTATTCTTCTATCTTTTTCCTTCTCTATATTATGAAGAAAAAAGAGAGAAGAAAAAAGGAGAAAAAAGAGAGAAGTAAAAAGAGAAAAGAATATAGAGAAGAAATAATAAAAAAGAGAGAAGAAATAAGAAAATGAGAAAAGAAAAAGGAGAGAACAAAAAAAGCGAAAAAGAAAAAAGAGAGAAAAAAGGAAAACGAAAGAAGAAAAACAAAGAAAAAACGGAGAAGAATGGATTGATTAAAAGAAATTAGAAAAGAAAATTACGAATTTTCAAGGGTTTATAAAACCTGCTGGCTTTCGAAGAGGTTGAAGATCAGACGAATGTTGCGAAAAAAATCGATTTCCCAAGAAATTCATTGCATCAGCAAATATAACTAGCTACGAGCCCCTTGGAGGCATAAGAAATATACATACGTCAGCTAGCGATTGCATAAGCACGTACTTTCTATATGCAGGAGGAAAGATATAGACAAATATTCAGGTCCATTTTAAACACGTGACCTCATGTACGCTGAGGGAAAACATAACTACAATATATAGAAGGACATAGTAACACTAAAAAAAAAAAACACACACACAAAAAAACGTACCTCCTGTGTGTGAACTTTGTAAACTGAAGCCTGTTACGATAGATTTCAGTATGGTGAAAAACTCCAGGTTAAATAAGCTGCCGTGCACTCGAAACGTAAAGGTGTGCATTTTAGCGCCGTTCAAGAAAGGATGGTATTGTGACTCTTGGACATTTAGGAGAATTATTGCACACATTGGGTGCAATGCTTCGGTGGTGGTTTGATATGGCTAATAGTAGACAAACATTCCAAGACTTATAGAATATTCCCAGAGAGCGGACATAGACGTTTTTTACAGTCAGGATAAACGGTTTTAAGCCCAATGAGAATCCTAGCATAATAATTCAGCTAGAATGCAAACATTCTGAATAAAATGTTCAATTATATTTTTTTCATATTTCATGACCGGGTGTCTTCGCAGAGTGGCTTGTGTGCTAGAGCACGTAACTAGTTCCTTCTCTGGGTAAGTAGACCTGGCGGAGTCCATCCCTCTCCAGGTCAATATCGGTCTTCCAACTTCAAAACTTGCGTTTATCGTTGATTACATAAAGAGGAACCTTACACCGTGGCTGTTGACTTCAGTCTAAGAACCCTTCACCCAGCGTGGCTGTATCATCACAGCACTGGCTGTAATCATAGCCAATGAGACCATTTTTTCTAGATGACACTTGACTCTAAAAGGTTAATCCCGCGGTTGTAAAGGAATTGTTTTTCATCTTGCTGTGCTCTTCGCCACCGCCTTCACCATAAAACACTACTGGGGGCAACGGTTTAGTCGCCCATGACACGACATTGCGGCGGGTATTATTGCTTTACACGGTAGCCGTAGTAATATAGACTGACTTTGCATAAGCCATGAGAATTCCCGAAGAAAATCGTAAACGAAAGCGTCAGGTAATATGATTTCAAAATATGATTTCCATCCTTTATTCAAAGAAAACACTAACCGTTCCACTCCCTACCCGGAACTATCACCAATCAAGATGAACTGAGGTCGTCTCGCGAATCACTGTGCTTTGAAGAACTGTTGGACCCCAGTCTAACACTCGACCTCAAATGGAGCTTGTATAGACATTGCTAGGGACGCACGTAAAATAGTCGGCGCCCTGTACCGCTCCAGTAGGTACCTGAGTTCTCCTGATATCATTTAACTACAAAAGCCAGATAAGGCCAAAAATGAAGCAATGTTGTCGTTAATTGGGCAGGAGATCCCAAGACCTCACTTTCAAGGGTTGTCAGAATTCAAAAGAGTCTCCGAGCCCTCGTGGGTGACGAATTATTCTCCACTCTTCAACCCCTCTCCCACAGGCGGGATGTCGCTGCTCTGCCCCTATTTCCAAGGAAAGTCCTCGGACGAACTACGTTTCTTGGTCCCGCCAAAGCAACCATTCATGACAGAACACACCATATCACTTACATAGAAGTAAACCATCCACATTCCATCAATATCCCATCGGTGATGGGTAAGTTTCAATCGAGCAGCTTCTTCGCGCGAAACACTAACCTGTGGAATCGACTCCCAACAGGACGTTTCCATGATCACTACAATTCAAGGTTAGGGTTAATCGTTATCTCCCTCATATGGAGGTCGTATATACATTGCAAAGGACGCACGTAAAATGGTCGGCACCCTGTACCGCTCCAGTAAGTACTTGAGTTCTCCTGATATCCTTTACATTTACAAAAGCCAGATAAGACCAAAAATAGAGTAATGCTGTCATATTTGAACAAGAGCTCCCAAGACCTCACTTTCAAGCCTTGATAGACTTCAAAAGCGTCTCTGAGCCTTCATTCTCCATCCTTCACCCACTCTCGCACAAAGATGTCCGGTTATGTTCGTAGACTCACGTTTGCGACTGAGGACCTGACCAGTTCTTTCTTTGGGCATGTAGACCTGGCAAAATTCATCCCTCTCCAGGTCAAGTCAATGCCTCGTCTTCTAACTTCAAGACTTGGTCGTTGATTCCATCGAGAGGAACCTTACGCCGTAGCTGATGAAATCGTAAAAGAAGCGTAAGGTATGATTTCAAAATATGATTTCCATCCTTTGCATGACGGAAACACTCACCGCTTTACCCCCTATACTATTCTCATATTATGAAGATTGTAGTAGAAACAATGCGAGCCAGGGAGTTTTGTTACTAATGTTCAACCAGTACAAGGCTCAAGAGATACTCAAGGTAGAAGATTACTGAATCACTTGTGTAATATGGATGTGATGGTAGGAAAGAAGGAAGTGAAGATTATGGGGATATGCTAGATAACGTTTCACCCTTGAATTGAAAAGGTCAAGATTATCGTATATACGATCCATCGCTAAAGATGCCTGAAAAATGGCCGGGTAGCCTGTACCCTTCCAGGAAATACATGACAAATTGTGCCAATCTTTATAAATGTCTGATCAAACAGAAAATGAAGTACTGCTGCTATATCTGGGTTGGAGCTGCCCAATTCTCATTTCCCTGTCTTGATAGAGTTCATTAAGTGCTTACGAAGAATTGTTAGCAATGCATTGTTTTCATCCCTAAAGTTCCTATCCCATAGACAAAAAAAGTCTATTGGGATTTCCAGGGCAGATATTCAGGCGAGCTATAATCTTGTGCAAATTAATTAAAAAAAACGATTAATTCAGTTATTATTTACCTTTTTTTTCTTATTTTTCCCAATGAAACATGACCCAATGCACATGTTAATACTTCGTATGTCAATTCCACAAAATCGTTCCTTGCAGATTGACCACAGATTCTCGATTGAATTTAAATCAGTAAAGTTTCCGGGCCAATCTATAGTACTTAGATATGCTCACTGGTAAAGCTTGCCAGTGTGTTACAATTTTCTTACGCTTACTTGGAGTAACGTCTATCGCAGACAGTGGCCGTAGGACAACTAATCACAAGTCGAGACAATAACAATAATGCGTCGCTTCCGTTATGGCGGATTTTTACGAACGGGGGAAGCAAACACACTCCTCTCGACTCCAGTCAGTTTCTCACCGAGTTAACGTGGCTTCCCTCTGTCTTTTCTACAAATATTTTCACGGCAACTGCTCGGGGAAACCTTTTTCCCCAGTGCCTCTACAACAATGAAATTTAAGCGGGTTATTATAGACTGGCATCTAGGTCCCACCTGTTTACTGCTGAAATAGCCAAATGCAACCGCCACTTCTATTTCAACAGATTCTTTTCTCGCACTATGAGAGTATATGTACGTATCTTTTTCGGTGCCTGTGTATAGTAAATTGCATGCATGTATGCCTGTGGTTTAATTTATTTTTTTTTGTAAAAGGTCGTGAAAATATTTCCTGTCGCGTCACTTTTATGTGTGTGTATATATATCTAAATATGTTTGCATACTTATGTATTATAATCTGATTGTGTTTGTTTTGTCTTTCGCAAGATCTCATAATCCCATGTCTACCCTTGTATCCATGTCATTAAGTTAAGGGCAGTCGATCTTAACGTTTATTCCAACGTAATTTCACTAGAAACAAAATGAATAGAATAACATGTATTTTTTCTTTTTTCCTCAATAACTTTAAAATTTTCAACTTAATATAGATTAAATTTACATTTTTGAAATGGGTAGTTTTTAATTTTAATCTTAAATTTTATCGTACAATTTAATACTTATCAGAATAAATTCTATTTTAGTATAATCCCAACTTTAAAGCATTTAATAGTTATAACCTTACTTCGTTGTCAAGTATACGTGTTTTTTGATTGGTCATTTCAGCTCATGTAACCTTACGAGGGGTGGTTAGTTGATTTTAACTTTTTAAAACCTTTATTCTACAATTTATATTCAACATCATCACTTGGTACGACACCAGGGGTGTTAAAAAAGGCTATTTTTGTAGTGATTTTATAACATATTTATGTTATAATTTTTAAATAAATAATTATATTCGGTCTCCTTTGTATTGAGCACTCTTTTAAGAATAGTAATTTTTGGTTATTGGAATTTATTCCGTATACACCAATCATACACTTATATATATATATATATATATATATATATATATATATATATATATATATATATATATATTTATTTAAAAATATGTTTTTTTCGCTACACAGTTCTAACCACTTTAAAAAAATCCATTTTTGAAATATGGTTAGAACTGTGTAGCAAAAAACTCATATTTTAAATAAATCAATTTATAATATTAATGCTCTGTAAATTTACATTGAGCACTATTTTGTAAAATAAAAATATCTATAAGAACACCGAATTATATATCTTACTGTTCTTTCTTTTTATTTATATATACATACATACATACATACATACATACATACATATATATATATATATATATATATATATATATATATATATATATATATATGGATTACATAAAATGAAGCTCAATTATACCTCATTTTATGGCCATTTCGGTCCTCGCAAAATGTCCATAAAAATAGGGTGTTATTGAGTTTCATTTTTTATGTAGTTCAATTCTATGCTCTACATTAAATATATTGATCTCTCTCTTTTGTGGATCAGTTTTAACATTTTATATTAATAGGATTCATTTAGATTACTTACCAACGGATTTTTATCTCTCTCTCTCTCTCTTTCTTTCTCTCTCTCTCTCTCTCTCTCTCTCTGTCTCTAAATATATATATATATATATATATATATATATATATATATATGGACATGCAAGCACGCATATTCACAATTATAAGATCTATTTTGCTCGTGGTATTTGGTCGAATTCTTCCGCTCTTTGGTGGCCCAAAATAAACTTTCACTGCATGAAAAGGTGTTCAATGTACTTGTTGTGTGCTGGCAACACCGCCGGTTGTAAATCTTGTTCTTGCGCTTTCTGAAAACCGATTGAGGTAGGAAGAAAAAGTGAGAGTCAAGAATCTAAATGGACGAACTCATGTCTACTTTTTCTTTTAAAGTTCTTATTTTCCGCTATTAAAAATAAAAAAGCATAATAGGTTTAAATATGTATGCGTGATTGTGTGTGTGTGTGTATTCAAATGAATCGGATATTGTCTTCTTACTATGCCGATTTTCTAAGCGTAGCTTATATGTAGCACATGACTAAAAGTAAGGGACACCCAGTGAGGATCGAATTCGCCAGTTAGTCGTAACTATTTTAGCGAGACGATATTGCTAACAATTACCTAATGTCCGAGTGCCCTTGATTTATTGCTATATATTGGTAAAGAAGATTAACTTTTAGGTCTGTAAACAATGATTTCTTCGTAGATCTTAAAATGCTTACACAGCATACATATATATATATATATATATATATATATA